TTAAGATATAAATCTTCATTATTAATATTAGTACACCACAGTGACTTAAGATGGTAGATTTCTTTTGCATATTATTACAGCTTGCTTGAACTTTATGACCATCTGCAAGAACTGAACTCTGGAAAACTTTGCTGAAGTGGTCTGTACATACTAAAGTTCTTAGACAAACAGAGAATCAGGAGCATGGTCTATTTAAGCCATTAAGCTAGAAAGCAACTATAAAGCTAGCATATTAAGCTTTTCACCTGGCATATGCCTCATCTCTAAATTATATCTAACAGCACTTTTTGTAATTTTTTGTTTTTTGTTTTTTTTTTTTTTTGCATTCTAGAAGACACAGCTTTCAAAACATAGAAGAGACTTTGGAGCCCCTGAGATTATAGATAAACTTACTGTCGGCAACCAAAGAGGCCAAATATTGCTTTGTGTGTTCATTTTTTTCCTTCCAGGACTGAGGGAATAAAGGATAAGGTAAATACATGACCATTGAATTTCAAAACAAAACAAAATAAGAGGGTGTAGCTGAGGGAAGAAGGGAGGGGGTAAGACTGGGGGATTCATGTTGTGAGATATCTATATCAGGTTTATACCAGGAGTCTGAGGGCAGCAAGGGGATGGGAAAAGGGGACACAGGGTAAGTCATCACTGTACATATATATACACCACTCCAACACCATATATTTACAGTCATAGGTTTAGACTCTGCAATGTAAGTTGGGCATTTAGAGCACATGTATTGTCCTTCACAAAGAGTATACTGAACATGCCATGAATCTATGCAAGGGTCACGTGAAAGCTTACTGGGAATAAACAAGTTTGTGATTCATTGGGAACGCATTACAACGAGACTTGAATTGTGGGGGTGCACATACAGTACAAAAGGCACAAGGAAAAATCTCCTCTTCAGGAGACAGTTTACTTTACACTGCTGAAAGATTCTTGTACTCAGTAAGAGATAAGTTAGGGACCAGTCTGTTTAAGTTGGTTCTTGCTTAGATGACCTCAGGAGGAACAAATAAACTGCAAAGTTACCTTAGAAAAATATAAATAAATGCTAAAAGAGTAAATCAGAGAAGAAAAAAGTATCAAAAATATCATTGTATGTATGGAAATACCTAGATATATGTGCAAACTCTTTATCTAAGACCTAGCATTACCATTATTGAAATTGTAACCTAATCTGGGGCAATACAGAACAAAATATAAATATGAAAATAGTTAAAACACTGCCATGACAAAAACCAATACTGTATCTGGAAAAGAAAGTCTTAAACATAATACATAAACCTGCAAAAGAAGAAGGCCCATAAACACAGTAATTAAACACAAACAGATCTAACTCTTAGATATAGCTAACAGAACATAATCTTTTAACTAAAACTATCATCTCACTATAATCTACCTGTCTACCAGATTACCTGCCTCTATGGATTTTATCTCTAAGAAATCTATTACTAAGAAAAATGCACATGCTTGTCAACGGAAGACAGGATTATCTCACCTTTAGGATCCAAGGTAAGGCTGCAGGGTATGTTAGTCACACTCCACACTCTACATGTGAAACAGGGAACCACCTCCTGGACGTCTTTTCAATCACAGGCGGGGTCCACACTAGGTACACAAACTCTGTATGTTCAACTTTTTAACAATGATTTATTATTTTTTCTTAACAAAACTCGTAAAGACATCACAGCTTATAAAGGACCATAAAAAAGAAAAGAAAAATACATAAATGGAATGGACGCAGTGACCAATTATTTTGTTTTCTATTCGCTTTTTATCACTTTTTTTTTTTTTACGTGAAAAGAATCAAAAGTTTAAATGTACTGTATGACCTTGCACCAACAGTTATTACCACAAAATATATTTTTATCACAAGTAGCACTTATCTATTTTTCTTTTTTCTTCAGCAAAATATGATACCAATACCTGTATTCTTTTTAAAACACTTCCAACACTTCACATGCGTTTTTCCATTTATATGTCATAAAAATGTATAGTAAAATGTTGAAAAAGTGAAAAATGATTTGCATAAGGAGTTAGTTTTGGCCGACACAACAGAGGTGCTCTTTAGTGACACAGACAGAGTCTCTTGACGACTTCCTCAGTCGCCAACAAGACGGCTCAACAGTTACATACTGTATTAGTTTATCAAGCAATCCTTGCACTTCACTTGGCATTCTACCAATAATAACTGGATTCATTTGGGAAAAGGGTTAATTCAAAGGACTTGGGGCTACAAGGGAGGAACTGCAAGTTATACACACAAGAAGATATAGCTATCTTTTTGTGCCTCCATATTCCTTTCATTTTTACAATGCAGTGCTAACACGGGGAATGATTTCTAACACTTACAACTAATTCAAGATTCAAGTAAAAATAACTAACTACACTGGATGAAAATATGTTTCACCATGACAAGGCAAAGAATATTGTGAAGATCGCTGATATATTATCATCATAAGAGTTTCAACTTCAAAATTGCCTTGTCAGGTACCTAACTGTGTCATAAATGCCATGAGGGGAAGGAAAGGGGAGTCATATATGAATTTACCATAAAAATAAATGGATGATAGATGAACACAGTTACTAGGAGGCGCAAAAAAAAAAAAAGAAAAAAAAAATCATATATATATATATATCCTTAATACTCACAACAGTTGTGTTGGTGTGAGTGTCTTGGGGGTTTGCAGAGCAGGAACAGGATTCAGAGGTTGCAGAAAATGAGAGAAGAAATGGAAAGGAAGAAAAGTGGAAAGGGGGGCCAGTCAGAGGAGTTCAAGACAAAGGGAGGGAGGGAAAAAAAGAAGAAATATTGGAAAATGAAGATGGAAAAAAGAAAAACCATAAGAGAGAGAGTCGCAGTTCCTCTTCACTGGGTTTCGACCACACACAAACACTGCAGTCTTCAGGACCTCGACCCCGAAAGGTGGTTGGAGAAGGAGGTAAGTTGAAGGGAGTTCATTGGTGGGTATGGTGATCTGGATTCCCATTTATGCCCTGTGATTTCTGGGGCTTTCAGGTTGAGGTGGAGGATTCAATGGTAGTTTGGTGGCAACAGTAGTAGTAGTACAAGTAGTAGTGGTAGTAGTAGTAGTGGGAGCTGTGGGTGGGAAGGCTTCCACACCTCCACATATGACTGTGTCAGTGATTACAGGTGAAAAGTATCTGGGAACCTTCAAGAATGTTCTACTGTTATGTCAAACAGGACACAGCTTGGTAAACACTTGCATTTGCTGGTAGTGACACTCATATATGTGGATTTCTAACATTGGGGATATTGCTTTCTTAATACAGTATTCATACAGCAAGGGTAATAATACTGAAGGATCTAACTATGATATGGATCCTATTCTTTCGATTACCGAAGTATCCACACACTTCCCTAACCATTATATACAGTGTTACAATATGATAAAACAAAAAGTGGTCAACTTGGTTTAATGAGGAACAATACTAAGAAAAAAATTAGCAAGAGAGTAAGGTTCATGGGACTTTGGGTATTAACTGAACAGTTAAAAAAAAATGACCTGGAATAATAAATAAAGGGGGAAAGAGGATAGATTTATTTCAATGTCAGAGAACCAATTATGCCATGCAAACAACTCACAGTCCTTAAATAGTGGATTTTTACACAGCAGGTTCCATGTATGCAATGGGTAATGGTGGATGGGAAAAGTCATATGCTCTCTGTCAGAAAAAAATAACTAAAAACCTTGCCCCTTGATTGCAATCACACCAACTAACAAAAATACTGAGAATTATTGCAATGCAGCACTTTAATGCATTAGCTGCTTTAGAACCTTGATACACACTAAAGTGTTTGCAGTAACAGTGAAGAAACATCTACTTGTTGTGGAGAGGGAGACTCTGCATGTGCAGCATCAAACTGGGTACCCGCAAAAATTCACTAATGCACCATAAGGTTCATGTACTCCATAAGTGTCATGAGAATAATAATAAAAAAGACTTACATTATCCATTGCACATATCCACATGTTATTACAAGTTGCAGTCAATGATCTTTACATCACACACAACTAGGGAATACTGTACTTTTAATCAAATACTCTACAAAAACTTGAACCATCCACAAGTTCTCATCCAGGCACATGCTGGGAGGATAAGGAGGAGGCCGGGAACCAGATGGCATCAAACTAAATAAAGGCACAGGTTAAATTTCAAACAATATTTCACTTCTCACTATAGGAAGCCTACAAATGCAATTTTGTTTATTGTTTAACAACCATAAAATATATATATTTAAACATCTAAATTTTAACTTTTCTTACCAATAAATCTTGTATCTGCACTCACCCACTCAGTTAATAATAATGATAATAATAATAAAAAAAAATAATAATAATAATAATAATAATAATAATAATAATAAAAAACTGCCTGTCCCTAACATGGCAGCACTCATTATGACTTCAAGCAATCAGTTAAACAACACACCTTGAAGCCTGCATCTCAAGGCATAATAAGTTAAGTCATCCTCAGTGGATGGGGACAGAACCAGAGCAGGACTTCCCTTGCAAGTGAAGGTGCTCTCTGCTTTGGCTCGCAACAACTTTGGTCGGGCAGTATTCCACTAATGTTAATGGCTTGTGGTCATATGCCTAAACACATTCAGCACGTCACTTTTATGTACACTGACGCTGACATACAGCCCCCCGTTAAGCAAACAGCAGTGGCAACAGCAGTAAAGGGCACTGGCAATTGGCAGCCGAAGTGGCAGCAAGAACGGACCCACATTGCGAGTCGAGGGCTGACAACAGTTCTTTCTTTCTATCACTCACCCTGAGTCTTTTCCCACTTGTACCTTAATCAGGGGCTGGGAGCACAGTGGCCAAATTTAACACCAAAAATAATAATAAAAATAACAATAATAATAACAATAATGACAATAATAATAATAATAATAAAAACAAATAAACAAAAAGTTCACTTCATGTGAGAATTGTCTCAGAAACCCACAGCCCAAAGGGAATACTGTTGATAATGGAAACATTGTTTGCACTTGGACCACAGTGTTCCTCAAACCCCTTTCAGTTTTCTATATCTTGAGAGTCTGATTCGTGACAGTGTTTATACATATATATATATATATATATAAGTTAGGGTGGTGACTGAGGTTAGAAGAAGTATATCCAGATATAGGCAAAATAGATAGCCCAGGCTAGCACAGTCCAGTGGCAGGAATAGATTGGATTCTCACCATCAGTGTACTTGCGAGCAACGAACTTGAGGGTCTCATCCAGCAGCACCACAGGGAGGGATATCTTCAATACAGCCATCCACTGTGCAGTTGTGAGGGGCATCACCTGGAACACAGTCTGAACACCCCAAGAATAGATTAGTCAATTTTGAAACAATAAAAAAAAAAGAGTTTAATCTACCATCACCTTGTAGGTATGAAGTATTCACCTGATCAAATTTTGAAAAGTAAAAGGGAAGAGAATGTAAAACTAAAGAATATCAAATGAAAGGACAGTAGATCATTTGTCTTAAAAAAGACTCAACTCTATCAGTTATATCTATTTCTAAAGTGAAATCAGTATATATATATATATTTTTTTTTAGAAAACATGTTTTACAAAATAGAAAAAGATAAAGAAATCAGAAAAATCAAACTAAACAAAACCAAAAATCCAAATAACTAAATCTAACTTGGTAAGGATTCATCTAAAAGAACTAAAACTCTAACTTACACTAAGGATATCAATGTACAAGATGATGAAATGCAGGGTCATGGAGAGGGCCATAGCCGCCAGCAGCCAGATGTTGACCCAGGGGGGCATCACGATGAGTGACTGGTTCTCTGACAAGCTGCAGGAGAAATAGAGGTGGGATTGAACAAAAGTACCTTATTCAGACTCCACTCTGAAGTGATGATGGATTTTCAATGTTCTAACTCTATATTGCTGATAATAATGACAGAGATGCCTTTGACTGATAAATTACTTAATAGCAATACTGAAATGTACACAAACTATTTTTTCACCTGTTAAGAGCGTTGAGCATCTCAATGGTGACAAGCACGGAAAGAGCCATGGTCATGGGGGCTGGGTGGCTGAAGATGTTGCAATCCAGACCTTCGAAGTTCTTGTCATCACCCAAGCAGGACAGATGGTGGGACAGCTGGTAGTAGTTGAGCTGAGGGCCAGTGGGGTCATACATGAACCACCAGGAGGCAGCAAAGACAGTGGCACAGCCAACATAGCCACCAATAGCCATGTAACGGAAGAAGAGCCAGCCAGAGATAAGAGACTCGTCAGCTTTGCGTGGGGGCTTCTCCATGATGTCAAGGTCAGGGGGGTTGAAGCCCAGAGCAGTGGCGGGCAGACCATCAGTAACCAGGTTGACCCACAAGAGCTGGACAGGAATGAGAGCTTCAGGGAGACCAAGAGCAGCAGTCAAGAAGATGGACACCACTTCACCAATGTTGGAGGAAATGAGGTAACGGATGAACTGCTTCATGTTGTTGTAGATGGCACGGCCTTCCTCAACAGCAGCCACAATGGACGAGAAGTTATCATCAGCAAGCACCATCTCAGAAGCAGACTTGGCTACAGCAGTGCCTGAACCCATGGCAATACCAATCTCAGCCTTCTTCAGAGCAGGGGCATCATTCACACCATCACCAGTCATGGCAGAGATCTCACCCTCTCCCTGCAGGTATTCAACAATCTTGGATTTGTGGAAAGGCTCGACACGGGAGAAGAGACGTGAATTGATGCAAGCAAGTCTCTGTTCTGCAACGCTGAGCTCATCAAATTCACGACCAGAGTATGACTTGCCAGCAGTTTCCTCATTTTCACCAAACACACCAATACGGCGGCAGATAGCCTCAGCAGTGGCCTTGTTGTCTCCAGTGATGACAATGACACGGATACCAGCCTCACGACACTTCTCAATGGAATCACGCACTTCCTTGCGGGGTGGGTCAAGCATACCAACAACACCAATGAAAGTCATGTTGACTTCATAGGTGTAGAACTTGGTGGAGTCACCGAGATCCATATCCTCAGGCTTCATTGGGGTGTCAATAGTGGCAAGACCCAAGCAACGGAGAGTGTCACGACCACAGCCATAGTCACGGGTAACTGCCAAGATCTTGTCTCTCACTCCAGCAGTGAGGGGAACCTTCTGGGTACCAACACGGACGTGAGTGCAACGTTCAAGAACACCTTCAGGTGCACCCTTGCAGAACATCTTGGGTCCAGTTCCCAGGCGAGTAGGCTTGAGGGGCACGCAGTAGGAGGACATGGATTTGCGGTCACGGGAGAATTCCAAGGTAAATTCTTTCTTCCACTTGGTCTCCATGTCTTGCTTGGCAACAATGGCAGCAGAGCGACGATCCAAACCAACCTTAGACTGGCTGTATGGGTTGATCTTCTCACCCAGCACAATCAGGGCAGTCTCAGTGGCTTCACCGACCTTTTCAAACATATTCTTGAACTCATTGAAATCAATAGAAGAATCATTGCACATGAA